AGGTGTGTAAGTAAGTTAGAGACCCCTACGGCTGTCAAGAGGCACACGGGGCCAGGCGGGAGGCTGGGGGCGAATCAACGAAGGCACAGGTCACAGAACGCGGATCTGGGAGGGACATCCACCCGCAGCGTTCCGGCAGTCACCTCAACACGCTCAGGTGGGCAACTTACTTTGTTACGAGACGAACCACTGCACATCTGAATAATTCTTTAGGAAAGAACCACCTCGAAATAACCCAAAATGTTCCACACCCAGAGGCTCAATTTCTGCCCCCTGGAGCCCCCTGGGGGTCCGTCAGAGTGAGGTTAAGAGCATGGCTCACGTTCACGTCTGATCTCATCACCTATTAACCGTGTGGCACCTTTGGCCAGTGACTTAACTGGAGGTGCTCAGTTTCTACAACTGGAGATGGAACAATGAACAATGGCACTGCCTCGCAAGATGACTGTGAGGACGGGAGGTGGCTGAAGTCACCTAAAGCAGGTGGAAACGGTACCCGGCTCAGCGTATGACCTCCTGACTGGTGGCTATCACGACTGTTATTACACAAACCAATCATAAAATCTCCTCTGTTCCAGACCTTGGAGTTAAAGACAGATATGCAACCCTCCTCAGTCTCGTCTTCTCTTGGCAAAACACCCTTATTCCTTGATATATGCCCTCTGACCTAGACCCAAACGTTCCCGTATTCTGGAAACTCTGCTTTGAACATGTTTGAGTTTGTCAGCATCCTACTTAAAATGTGGCGACCAGAACTGACTGACTCCTCATATGACCTGATGGGAAAACAATAGAAGGAGGCCGTACCTTTTACCCTCCAGGATCCATCGCCCCAGGGGGTTCTTCCTGTCTTGCTTGTCACCACCCCCCCCAGCCTAGACAACCTTACATCTCCCCCACCGCATACTTTCTGCAGATGATTTTCTGAACCAAAGCACGGAATTTTATATTCAATCCCAATAAACTTAATCTTCTTAATTTCATCTGTTTAAAGCTTCAGAAAACTGATTTTCATATCCCGCATGTTAACTACTCCTCTGAACTCCAAGGAAGCAGGAAACTAACCTCTTATATCATTACCCAGTGTGACACACAGAAATCTCACTTAGGGTGTCAATCGTCATTCAGAGATGGCCCTTTGAACTCTCCCTTAACCCCATAAATGAACCAATGGCTAAACCATATTTCCTATTCGGCCTTCAAGAAGGACTTTGCCAGACGGCTCAGTGAAGTCCAAATCTATCACATCTACTCCTCTTTCCTTATCTACCAGCCTGGCCAGTCTGCCCAAAGAAGGGAATAAGCTCAGTTTAATCGGCTTCCCTTTCAGTGAGCTCGCTCGAGCTGGCTCATAGGGACCTGCTCCCATATGCCTATCTTTCCTCGTGATAAGCGTTCACAGTAAAAACCCCAACAATCTGGAGTGGCCGGGGCAATGCTGCTCCAGTTAATAGAATTTTCTGCTTAAAAAAAAAAGGTTTTAAAAAGTTTGTATATTATCACATCAAAAAATATTCCCCTAAAACCTACTAGCTCATATTCCTGCTTTTATCTTTCCTCTACAAGTTACTGCCTGGGATCTTCACTCTCAGCATGGACTCTAGTGAAGAGGCCTACAGACATAGGAAGGATAAAAGCAGGTGAAATCTGCACTGACCTCAGAGATCTTTGTGTGGTTTTAAAAAAATTCCTATTATACACTTGTATAACATTTATATCATTTCTCTCTTTTTCATGAAAATGAAACACAGAAAAATGGATGCAATAGTGTATGGTTTCTACTAATAGTATGAATTCTTTAAAGAATTAATGTTTTCCTTATTAAGTATTTTTGATCAAGACTTAAAAGACAAAAATTTGGTACAGTTTTAAATCTATCACCCAGAGAAAAGCCTACAAAGCTTAACATTCCTTCAAACGAGCTTATATAAATTTACTTTTACACTAAAAAAGCGACTGTCACGTTAAAAAGACACAATGTGGAAAGTAGAGCATGTGAGAAAAGAATCGACCATGATTCCACCATCTGAAAAATAATTATTCCACCATCTGAAAAATAAATAACATCATTGTTTGAATAATTCTGTCCGATTTTCAAGGTTAAGGATAATTGGCCAGAAGAGGTAAACAAATTTTATGACTCTTGGTAGATACTGCCAAAGTCCTTCGGGCTACATTAATTTATAACGCCAGCAACAGATGAAAGTACCAGTTTTCCTAAACCTTGGCCAGCTTTACATGGTACATCGCTATTCTAATTTGCATTTTTCTTAACACCAAGGCTGAAGATGTTTCTACATGGTCGTTCACTCAATTTATTTCATATATGTTTCTTTTCCTTTGGAGCATTAATGATTTTGTTAAAATTTATGCTAATTACTTTATATGCTAATTATTTTTATTGGTTATACATTTATTAATTTGACAAAGGGAATCACTCTGTCTACGATATTTGTGGCAAATGTTATTTCTTTAACTTAAAATAATTTATATTTAGTCAAATGTTCATTTTCCTCAGTGGTTTTACTTGTTACATCCGACTTTAAAAAGTCAGAGCTGTGCCAAAATGATCACAGAATAAATGCAAATCAGGCCCTGCAGTGACCTGGCCACACTTGGTTATAAACTTGTCACCCACATGGTTATCATCAAAATGAAAACAGAATTTTAAAAACACTCAGAGAACTTTTCAACCCCTTACACACACTCACCCTGCCATACAATAGCTTCTGATGAGCACAGGTGTCCTAGAAAGAGTTTAAAACTTGGTTTCCGTCTCTCCCCCGTTCCTTCATCAGTTTACACGGAGAAGCTGACATTTTTCTTGTTTTTATTAGTGCGTCTATACAGTTTTTAATCCAAAAGTCGCCTCGGTTATACACTGTATCTTGTTAACAAGCCTCGTTAAATATTATTTATATTTGATGAATTATTCCCTCAGTTTCCCTCTGACCCCCACCTCTTCCTACTTGTGGGCTCCACTTCTTAGGTAAGTTTCTATGCCTAGTCTCTAAAGCTAGTTCCCCAAGCAACCCCCACCCCAGTTACTAAAGGTCCGGAAAACGTCTTCCACGACTATTTAGAGAAAGTGTATGTCAGTGGAAATACATGTTTTTAAGTTGGTGTATGTCAGAATGACTTTCACTGCCATCATCTATTAATCAGAAATTAGATACTTCATTCTCACACCATTGTTTAAAGAAGATTCTGAGAAAATAATTCTATTGCACTGGGTTTTGGAGTTAGAAAATCTGAAGTTACCCATATATTTCTGGTATTTCTGAAATAATCTGCTAGTGCTCTTTCTTCTGTCTTTTCTTATCTTTTAGGATTTTCATCTCTTATGTAATTTTATGTATATACAATTTTATGTGTAATTGCTTGAATGATTTTTTGCATTAATCCAAATTTATTACCCACTTAAAATACTACAGATATAATATAAATGTTCTACATTTATTCTATTCTATTGTTTCTTTACATTCATAACTTTCATATTTTAACTATGCAAGTAATGCATGACATATGCTCTTTGTGAAATTTTAAGTAAAAAAGTCTATTTAAAGCATACAGTGAAAGTGTCAATTTATCATAATCTAACCTATTATTTCATGCCCATTCTACAGACATGTGTAATCTTCTAGAATTTTAAAGCTAAACTAACATACCTAGCTGTATGATACAGACACATATATTTTAATTTTCCATAAATAGGATCATAATATAACAATTGTTCTGTCATGTGCTTTATTTCCCCCTTAACACTGTGTCTTAGAAATCTGTGTCTGTTGGTTCCTACAAATTTATATCAATCTTTTCAAGGAGTACATAGCATTCCATAGTATAGATTTACAATAATTTAATCATTGGCTTTATTTATAACTGTTTTTCATTATTTCAAATAATCTTCCATGAGCATATATCATCTTGCACATGCGAAAATATTTCTATAGCAACTGCAGATGAAGGACCCACTTAATAAGGGATTAAAAATAAAAGAATGAAAGAAAAAGTTATTCAGGTTTCTAGAACAAAAAGGTTCAAATACTGTCTAGGAAACAATTTTAACTGAGTGACTAAGCTGACCAATATTTTTCTAGACGTTAAGGAAACAAGGCAAGCAAATTAGACAAACAAGTAAAAATTAATAGCTGCCTTGACTATCCCGAGAGTCTGCAGGGATGTATTTTTAAAAAGATAAAGATAAAGCCTTTTTTATTAATAAACAAGAGGCAGGGTACTGAACACAGAATTAAACTCCTTTTGCTGCCCCCGCGTCCTGGTCCCAGCCGGACCCTTCCCCTCGGTGCTCCGGCCAATCCAGTCCAAGTGTCATTCGCTCCCCGAACAGCCCCCGCCGCTGCCACCGCAGCATCGTTGAACCTGCCATCCCTCCAGCCTGGCCCCCCTTCCTCCAGAGCCTTCTCGCGGCCCCTCCCGTCGCCAGGGCTCTCAGCACCAGGCCCCTGCCCACCTGTCCGCGCCCGTCAGGCCCTTCCGCCCGCCGCCTGGCAAAGTCTATGCACACTCCCTCTTTCCTTCTTCCCAACTCACTCTTTGAAATTATCTCATTTTTAACTGATGGACTGGCTGCCCACCAAAATCCAAGCTCTGTGAGGAAAGAACCCTGTCGGCCCTGCTTACCGCTCTGCCCGGGGTCAGTGACAGCACCTGGGCCACAGTAGGTGCCCCAAACTATTTCTTAAATAAATAAGCCAAACTTGTGCTCTGACAGGAGGAGAACTCAAGAACCACAATAAATGTTTCAATTAAACGTTCAGTTTAGTCAACTGTCAGAACAGACTTCAGCGGAGAGTTAAAGTTCTCTGTTTCTAGATTCCAGTGAAACAACCATTATTTTAAACATTTCAAATATATTGGTAATAATGTTCTTATAAGTATTTTCGTTGTGCAGAGGTTTTGTGACATAAAGAGATATTTAGAAGAGAGCGTATATGCACGTGAGAGAATCAAAGGCAGCCGTCAGAGGAAGGACCGACCTGCTGCTCGTATCTTTGCTTGACGTCCTCCAGCTGCCACAGAAACTCCTTCGACTGTTTCTCACGAAGAGACTTGGATCTAGTTAGATCGGCTTCCACTTTTCCCATCTATAAAATTTAAAAGTCAAATATTAAATTTTTAAATGACAAATTGTATTCCATATTTTTGTCACTTGTCCATCATTAAAATGACAGATTTTCAACACCTCACCAATCATAACGCTGAATTTAAAGATAAAATAATGAAGGATATGTCCATTTATTTTGACAGGTTTTAATAGTTTTAAGTCAGGGAAACTATAATTGGTATACAATTGACTAAACTCTAAAGCTACAATGACACTGTGATGGAAATATAATTTTGAACATCCAAATACTTATTCAACAAATTTTATTAAGCCCTTGTTATGTGCTGAACAGGAGAAAATATTTGCAAACCATCTCTCTGAAAAGTGACTTGCATCTAAAATATGTAAAGAACTCTTACAACTCAATAATAAATGGGCAATTAAACCTGATTTTATATTGGGCAAAGGAACTGGAAAGACATGTCTCCAAAGAAGATACACAAATGGCCACGAGCATATGAAAAGATGCTCAACATCACAGTCATCAGGCAATTTCGTATTAAAACAGCGACATACCACTGCACACCCACTAGGATGGCTATAATCAAGAATACAGATAATAACAAGTGTTGCTGAAGATGTGGAGAAATGAGAACCCTCGTACGCTGCTGGTGGGAATGTAAAGTGAGGTAGCCACTTTGGAAGACAGTCTGACAGCTCCTCAAAAGATTAAACTTAGAGATGAACCACATGAACCCATATGAATTCCATACGATCCAGGAATTCCGCTCCAAGGTGAGAAATGAAAACATACATCCATACTAAAGAAACCTATACACAAATATTCATAGCAGCATTATTCATAATTGCCAAAAAGAGGAAACAACCCAGATGTCCATCAACTGATGAATAAACAAGATGTGGCCTATTCATACAATGAAACATTATTCAGCCATAAAAAGGGATGAAGTACTAATACACGTTTCAACATGGATGAACCTTGAAATCAAAGTGAAAGAAGGCAGTCAGAAAAGACCATGTACTGTGTTATCCCATTTGTGTTCAATTTTCAGAAGAGTCAAATCCATAGAAACAGAAAGTAGACTAGGGATTGCCTAGGGTGAAAGGGGTTTGGGAGGGTATGGGGTTTCTTGTGGGGTGATGGAAACTTTCTAAAATTGTTCGTGATGATGGCTGCACGATTCTGTGAATATATTTTAAAAAACACTGAATTGTACACTTACAACGAGTGAACTGTTGGTATGTGAATTATACCTCAATAAAGCTGTTACTTAAAAAAAAAGTCAAAGTCAAAGAAAGGACCACAGTCTATGATCCAATCCCAGTACCTCTCTCGGCTCAACTCTAGGGCCCCCATCACCACCATACGCCAGCCCACCGGCCTCCTTGCTAGGCCTAAAACGTGTCAGCAAAGCTCTCATCTTGGGGTCTAGAAGCCCCCCACCAACATTTATGTAGCTTGTTTTTCAAAGGCTTCAAGTTCTGCTTAAATGTTACCTTTGTACTGAGGCTTCCCTGACCACCCTATTTTAATTTGCAGCCCTCCCAGCCGCCCTTCCTGGCTTTAATGATTTTTTTTAACCACAGGAGATAACATCTTCAGGTATACTATACAATTTACTTATTCATTAGGGTTGTTTGCAATGTCTGTCTCCCCCTGGGGGATGTAACTCCACGTTGACTCATGCATCCCAACCATTCAGCACACTGTTTGGAGCACATGGGGACTCAATAAATACTAATCAAATGAAAACAAACAAACAAACAAAAACCCCCAAAAGACACAGTGCACCAAACTTGGTTTGAAGTTTGCTGAACAATTTTCAAAAAAAAAGACAATTTTCAACATTTAATAGGGCCAAATTCTTTGTAACACATATAAAATGAAGTGTCGAATCTAATGTTTTCTGTCACTTAGAAAATGAGATAGACGATGTGTTAATTTTCCTTGCTCTTTTACATGCGACAGGCAAGAGAGGTCCTTGCGTAATGAGAAAGCTATTCAGCTGGGTGGCGTGGAAATGGTGCCTTCCATTCGAAGTGGTGCAAGATTACGCTTGTCTTTCTACCCCAGTTTAATTTTGAAAACTCATTTTTCTGAAGCACCTGTCAGTTCCTGTGACAACCATTCTGTCACCGGCTACTTTGTATCACTTCTTGCTCTGCTTTGCTGATACGCTGAGATTTTTCTTCTTTTCAACTTGCACACAATGTCCTCTTGCAGGCTACCTTTTGGTAGGTGCTAAGATTAGATAAAACATGAGGAAATAAACCATGAAAAGGCTCCCTTCAGTTTTTCGTGTTAGATTTTTGGGGTAAAAACACCATTCAAATACATTTATTCAGACACAGTTAAACTTTAAGGTTTGAGGAGCAGAGCTGTTCAGCGAGAAGCAGCCAGTTTCACTGGATGAGAACAAAAGGCATATTCCTGCCCACGAATCTGCTATGTAACACCAGCCTTTCCGTTTCTGGTTCTTACACGGAAGGCTGGAGTTCTAGATTATGGCATGATATTTAGTACCTAAGTATCTCTTTGTAACTGCCAAAGACTGCAACCTTGATATTACTAAGTCATCAGCTTCCAAATTCAGTGATCAGAGTTCTAAGGTGACCGACCCCGCCGGCCATCAGTCTCATGCTCAAATCTGTCAAGGGATTTCTAAAGGAAGCACAGTCGAGCCCGCGTTGTTTTCTTCCGTTTCTACCTCAAGACGTGGATTTCAAGGCTCTCTCTCCTTCAGTGCTTTTCACACTAGACCTCCACCCGAGGGCCCCTTGATCTGTCCTCGGCAGGCTCCGCCCCTACACACTCTGATTCCCGTGGCTGTTCTGGGTTCGCCCTCGCTCCCCACACTATCTGAAAACCCCTCTGTATTTTTCCTCATCCAACAATCCATCTTCAAGGTTGACTCAAGCCTCCTCTCCTCTCTGTGGTGTTCTCTGATCCGCCAACTGGCATCAACATCTCCCTTCTCTCTGTGCTCGAGGACCTAACATCTTCATTTTCCTGGCACACTGTATGTTTCTCTAGAGTGTGGGAGTGTTTCAAATGTGTGAGCTTTGTTTATTCATCTAGATCGTGAGCTCCCAAATAAAAGAAACTACAGCTTATAATTCTTTTGTATCTTAATTATTAACTAATTGCCACAGAACGCAGAATAAACATGAATTAAATTCTTAAGGATGAATGGAGGGTAGGCAAAAGCAGAAGAGAAAGAAAACAAGAGAAGGTAAACCAAGGAGGCAAGACCTGGTTTCTTCAGTACTTTTAAGACAGATCTTCAGATGAAATTGATTTTTGGTTCTTACTCTACTTCAGCACAGATTGAATATTCAAAATAAATAATAATTATTAAAATATTTTTAATGTAATGAAGAGCTTTGTGTACTCAACATTCGTAAAAAGTAGGATGTCTTCCTTCAAAAAATTGAATTATCTTCTATAATCAAAATAGAAAACAATTTAAAGCACATGAAAGACCTTTTATACCTAAACATTAAGAAAAATTCAAAGTAAATAATAGCTGCTGTAAGAAAATGTTATTTTATACTGACCGAAAATGCAAGACCCCACTCCATTCTCCTTCCACAATTTAACCAAAAAAATATAAAAACAAGTCTTGTAAAATACTTGAAGTCTGCGTAGAAACGCAGCGTTCTCAGTTGCCGTAGATACAAAAGATTCTGCTTGATCACACGTCATTCCATATTCCATTTAACTTCAAGGGTAAGGAAAAAAAAAAAACCAACAAACCCAATCCTTCAGTGTGTAACTCTGGCTTCCAAAAAAAATCCAAGAGTGGAATTTGAAGATCAAATTAGGAGCAGAAAAGGGCTTGGGGTGTATTTCTGTGAATGTCTAATGCTTGCAGGTAATAGAGAGAGGTAAACAAGGGCGTTGGCTTTTCCTTAGACGGCGCCTCCAGCATTACTTGAGCTGCATGTGAGAAAACACCTAAGCCTCCAGAGCTCAAGCAACACAGGCCCTTTATGTTTTCCTCGGGTAACAAAACATTCAGAAATAGGCTGCAACATCGGCAGTTCACAGATGTCAGGGTGAAGGTCTCTGTGATTCAACTTCCAGAATGGTTGCAGGATGGCTTCTGCAGCTCTGAACACCTGGGAGAGGAAGAGCAAAGGGTGACGGGACAAGGGCACAGGGTCCATATTTGCTGGGTGGAAACCCTTTTAAGGGGCTTTCCTGCAAGTTCCTGTCAAAAGCAAATTAATTATGCTGTTTGCATCGCATTCCCTAGAACTACATTAAAAGCCAAACTCCACCTGCAAGGTAAGAGACTGCAGTTTTAAAACTGTGTCTAATGTTGCCCTAAATAAAATCAGGGCTGTGCTGTATTACTCAGAAAGCGGGAGTGGGCACTGGGCCAAGATCTGGCGCACTCTGTCAAATGTGGTCACAATGCGTTACTGTTCTTTCTGTAGTAAAGTACTCTTGTGTTATGTTCTGAGTTATTTGACAGTATAATTCACATGAGACAATTATACAATTCTATAGAGATATACAATTCAAAGTGTATTCTGCTGTATTTAATACATATTTAGCTAAACTCTAAGAAATTGTCCTTCAAATATTTTCATATATATATATAGAGAGAGAGATAGACAGACATAAATGGCAGAAAGACAGATAAATAATTATTTCTGTGCTTGGCTAAAGACTCAGTAGAAACTAATATCCTTAACAGAGAAAATTAATTAACACATGCGTGGTGCCTATCCTTTTCTTATTGATTAGTAGGAGTTCTTTATCAATTCTGGATATGAATTTTCTTGTTCAATATCTGAACTGCAAATATCTTTTCCCACTCTGAGTTCGCTCTTATATTATCTACTGGTCTCTTTTGATTAACAGAAGTTTTTAATTTTAATGAATTTAAATTTAACAACATTTTGTTTTTTATCACTTTTTGTTTCCTATTCAGAAAATCTTCACCGAGCTCCTACATTTTCTTCTGAAAATTTTATTGTTTTACCTATCACTTGTGTATCTACAATCCT